AATATCCTGATGCATGCTCAACAGTCCAGGTAGAAAATTCTAAAAAAAAGTTAAATCTGGTCCTCTGGACATTCAAAAAACAAAACAAGTTTTGCTATGTGATTTGGGATATTTATTTAAATAACACCAGGATTCGGAAGAGTAATCAGCACAATGGACAAAAAAAGAAAATACTCAGATACTGTTCTGCTAAAATAATAGTGTCTTTATTATTTCGCCACAGATTACAGCATAACAAGCAAAGCAAGGTACAATCACAAATGTACAATCTCACAAGTATTGATGTAAGAGAAAATTCTCACTGTGACACATAGACTGGAGAGCCAGACAGCCTAGGCAGAGCATACACCAACACAGCTGGACGTCCCGATCGGAAGACTCACAGCAGACTCTGCCCTAGCAAATGTGCTTCTTCTACTTATATCCTTTCATTCTCTCTCTCTAACAAAACATGTTTACTTGAAACTCAGAGTTGAAAACGGTAACTCCTTTCCATCTATGTGGGGGGAGTAAAGGCTTCTCTCATCTTGAGGAGAAAAATGCTTACTTCTTCAAAGTAAATTGTGAGGAGAATGCTCTCTTATCAAGGGAGCGATCACCCATCCCATTCATGTGTGGAGGGGTGATGGCTCACCTCTTATTAAAGCAAAAACAGGTTTACTAAAACTGTCAGGATAGCGTGAGAGTCCGATGGTGAAACATGTTTATCAGGAACCTGGGGCGTTGTGACCTAAGGGTGGGCCAAGCCCCTCTGCCAAAACGCTCCCCAAGAGTTTAGTTAAACATTCCTTTAATACAACATCTCGCTCTCACAGTAACCCGACCTTAGATGTCCACATGAAATGTTTTATTTTCGAGCTGTAATATGAAACATAATATGGCATAAAAGCATATAAAAGCATTAAAAACATATTATTATATCATTCCACCCTTGCGTTTATGACATATTCCACTAATTTTGAAAATTATTCCCCTCAAAATCAAAATCTTCAGGATATCGCCTGCCAACTTGTTGGACAGATTCACACATGAAATTTAAAAATTCCAAACGGGAATTAAAACCCTGAAAAGTATGATTAATTACATTACCACTGACATGATAATTCAATATCATGATATTCTCTGGGACTGTGGTGTCGATTGTCATGGTGGCTTTTTCTGTCCCAAACCAATGGTCCTCTATTATTAACACTATTTTCATTACAGGGCTGTGTTATAATTTTTTTTTATTTATTCTATTTTTAATCCTTCTAATATAAAAACAAGTGCACAGATTACATATGGTTAATACACAAAAACAAATGAACAAAATCAGCAAAGGAGGGCTTACGTATTTTTGCGCCGTTGATGACATCCCTGTGAATATGTCCCACCAATGGTGAGCCGACGCTTGTTCTATTAGCTTAGCGTATGTAAAACCTTTCCTTGAGCAATGTAGGTGGACACTGTTAGATCAGACACGTTTGACTTATGCGACTCAATCATTCGTTTCAGCTCTGTAGACCCATTCAATGCACATTTGAAACGGTCTAGGGAGACTCGCCAGGGTACGTGCAAAGTTTGCCATTGTACCTCTGTTAGTCGAGTGGTGGAACTATAATTAGTTAATTAATAAGTCTGGTTGTTCCAAGTCCACAGATATACACCATACACACACCCAGAGAAAGGCACCTTAGGTAATTGAGGATGACTTTTAATTGTAGCTATACACAGAGTGTAGTCTACAGAACAAGACTGAGATTCTGAGAGAAGTATTTAAAGACCTTCGAAAGTGTTTTGAGTTAATTAGTTGATTATTGTGGTACCAGGTGTCTTCAATATTGAACCTTTTCACAACATTCTAATTTTGAGATACTGAATTTGGTGTTTTCATTAGTTGTCAGTTATAATCATCAACATTAAAGAAATAAACATTTGAAATATATCTGTCTGTGTGTAATGAATGAATATAATATACAAGTTTCACTTTTTGAATGGAATTACTGAAATAAATCAATTTTTTCATGATTTTCTAATTTTATGACCAGCATCTGTATATTGGCCTACAATGGCTTCTTTTTACAATGGGAATGAATGACAGTTCTCATTTGGATCTGTCTATCCAACATGTTTAAAATATATTCAGGTCAGATACTCCCTCAATACTCATCAAATGAAAGGGAGGACACATCCAACTATAGCAAAGCTATTCAACTAAACTGCTCAGGGGGGCACAGTTACTGAAAGCCAGCAGCTCAGGGACCGGACATCCAGCAGTTGAAGTCCATATAAATAAACTCAAGTATTACAATGATCTGTTACCTTTTAAATTTGTTAATTTGGTTGCATTGAATCATAAATGCAATAAACAGTACCCAAACCAAACTCATATATATCCATCCATTATCTTTACCCGCTTATTCCATTTTGGGTCACGGGGGTCGCCGGTGCCCATGTCCAGTAATCACTGTGTGAGGGGCGGGGTACACCCTGGATGGGTCGCAAGTCCATCACAGGGACACATAGAGACAAACGAGACAAAGAAACATTAATTCTCTCACTCACACCTAGGGACAATTTAGTGTTACCAATCAGCCTAACATGCATGTTTTTGGTCGGTGGGAGGAAACCGGGGTACCCGGAGAAAACCCACGCATGCACGGAGAGAACATGCAAACTCCACCCAGAAAGGCCCCTGGACCGGGGTTTGAACCAGGGACCTGCTCGCTGAGAGGCAGCAGCTCTACCAGTTGTGCCACCGTTCTGCCCACGCTGTAACATTTGGATTAAAACATTTTTTTTTTCATTTACCCTTTATTTATACAGGTAGTTTCAATGAGCCACGAGAACTCATTTTCAAGAGAGACCTGTTTTAGGGA